TTACGCGGCTGGAACTCATCCAAGAAATTTTGATCCGTAACAACCACTTCAAGTTTCATCTGAATCGGTCAAAATTGTGGCCTATTCGTATTACATGCTTTTATATTATTTACTTAAAGGGTAGCGATCATTTTGACGGAGCGTTTTGGTCCGATTTACACAAAATTCGGATTCAGCTTTGATTACGGTGTAACGATGATATATTTGAACGATCTTTGAATAAAAATAAACAGGGACTCCTAAAGGTTCACATGCTAAAAACGTGACTTTTTGTACAATCAGGGAAAATAATCCAGGAGGTTATGGTCTGATCGTTGGGATATAAACATATGTTTTGGGTTTTATCAAAATCGGATAACAATTTTAAATTCTAGAAGGTCCACAAGCTATAGACGCGATGTTCGTATAATCAGAAGCAACAATACATGAAGCTATGGTTCGATAAATGCCAATATCGAAAGGATCCGAGATCGTCAAATTAGGATAAACAATTTGACCAAAAAAGTGCCCACAAACAGATTTGAACTGACGAATAAAAATAGACTTACAGCTTTATTTGATCACGTTCCCTCTCTTGTAACCTTTGACGCTCCAATTTCAATTGCTTTGTCTTGTCTTCAGCCCTGGATTAAATAAAATATGCGGGCACTTAGAACACCAAGAGAAAGGGGGTACCGCAGAATTTTCTTTTCTTCTAGTGGCGGATTTACATTTTGTACAAATGGTGCCGCTGAAACTGGACCAACAAAAACGTACCCCACATTCAACACATCATATACAATTTTAATAGAAATATTTTTTTTGTTATTATCGGTATTATTAAAGCATAGAAGAAGTTAGTAATATACTTTAATCTTGAGAATACAATACCATTGCAATCTGCCAACAGCAACATCACGGCTGATCAACATTGTTAATGGAGGAATAGCGTTCTAGCCATGTTTGTTAAATGAACTGAAATATGTTTTAACGTTCTACTTATCTGCAACGACAGTGTGCTTTGAGGAAATATTTCCTTGATCGACATGGTTACAGACATTTTTGTTCGTCAATTTCGTCATATGCTGACAAAAATGAAATGAAATGAAATGGGGTTTATCGTCCTACTGTTCTGCTCCGACTGGGCTATTATAATGAAGTCGGGCATACGCCATACGGTGTGCTATGAGGGAAATTTTCCCGGGCAGCGACACTATGGCCTATTCTTATATTGAATTCCAACTGCCAAAGGATCTTTAATGATCACGCCAATGTATATACGGGACATCGTTGTTCGTACCATCCGAATGACTAGACATTTGTTCTTGCCAGGAACCGCTCCGTCCTGCACCACTGACAAGGGAAACCACATCGGAAAGTTCCGATGAACTTTCTCGGCCAATGCAGGGATCAAACACGCGACCTTCAGGCTAGCGAACCAGTGTCTTACCCACTTAGCCCCCGTGGATCCCGCATATGCTGAAAAAAGGCAAATATTGGAAAATGGTATATTTTGAAAGGATATGACAGTCTACTCTCATTGGAAGAAGAATATATATCTGTCGCTGAAATATCGATAGCGGTGGGCCGTGCTAACAATTTTTTAGGGATAGTTGTTAATAATTCTGTACATCATCAGGTGGCAGAGATTTAACGAGGTTATCAGATACTAGCCAAACTTGTTATATTTCTGCACCTTGTATTTTTTCAAATATTATTACCTATTAATTGCAGTGGATGCCGTATCGAAAATTGCGAACATGACAAAACTTTCATAAATGACTGAAACCAATCCGATCCGGATCTATCGGTCGGTTCAAAAATCCGGTTCTGTTTAACTTATGATGCATGCCCTATAGTAAAACAGTAAACATTGTTCCATTGCTATCCAAATCACTATTGATTTGTTATTTTAGAGTTTGGAAAAGGAAGAGAGACATTGGTTTATATGCTTACTTAGTAAAGCAAATAAAAATATAAATTACCGCTCTTTTTCCAAACGCCCCTTCTCTTCTGTAATCTTTTGTACCTGTTTTTCAAGTTCTTTTTCTTTTTTCTCTTTTGCTGCCTTTTCCTCAGCCTCCCTCTCCTTCTGTGCTTTAGCCTGTTTTACAGCTTGGTCATACATTTCGCTATCATAGTGTTTGTTGTGATTAGCTTTCTTCAGTGTAAAAGCCAGTTCCATAATCTTATTAACATCGAATTTAGAGTCGGTTTCATTATCGAGGTAAATGAAGGTGTATCGATCCGAGCATTTTTGCAATACCGTTTTCAGATAGGTGTTTGCTTTTTCAATATACATCTTTTCATGTTCCGCTCGATTTGATCGTGGCTTTCTGTGAGCAAACACAGCGATCATATAATTGGTGACATCATCTCCAAATATGCGGTTTAGGCCATTAACACTGTTTAATTCTTCATTTGTGAATCGAGCATCAAGGTTTATAACATAGAAAACAACGTCGAGACCATGCAACTGTTCGACGCATTTGCCAATCTCTTTATCGACTTCATCATTCTCTGCTTTAGTATCAAACAGCCCTGGTGTGTCTGCATATTTAACTTTTGAACCTTTCCACGCACCTTCCTTTGTTGTGGTTTGAGTGGTTTCAGATTCACTGTATTCGCCTACGTTAAATGATCCATCTCCTATCAACGCATTCCCCAGGGTGCTTTTACCAGCCCCTGTTTTACCAACTGCTGCTATTCTTATCTCATCTGAAAAATAAATTCAGTTCTATCATGTGCCAAGACAATATGTCTTTGTACTGTACTATTAATATACTCATTGGTCTTTTAGAGAATCTCCTACGAGTGTTTTTTTGATATCAAAAACATAACAACACATCGTCGATATAGTAAAACAAAACGAGGTTTTTTATACTTTATCGACCAGACGAGTGGGAGATTTTATTTATCACCCAATCCTTTCTTACATACACAAATAAATAAATAAATATAATTATTTGCTATAGATTTCACTTTTACTGGACCTAACTACATTACGGCGTAGTGATACATCATTTTTTGACAGCAATTCCAACCATTGCAAAGTCCTGTATTGACCCATTGTTTCCAAAAAAAGTCAGTTAAATAAAAATAGTTCCTTTTTTAATCAAAAAAGAAGTTACTTTTAATAAAATTAACTGTTCTTTGAAAATAAAAAAGTAATTCCTTTTATCGCAGAAGATTATGAAATTTATCACACAAGCGGTATCTACTGTAGAATTATTATTGGGTGATAAATATTATTGTGTCACTATTATCCAGACATAAAAAACATGCATTAAATTGAAAAAAGAGTATCCTGGTGGACGGATGATGAACCACGCGTGAGGTGCATGTGGACATGTGAATATTTGAAAATCGTACTTCATTTGAAAATGGTAGTTGTTATTCGCGAAGTTTAATAAGAGGGTGGGGGGGGGGAAATCTCGGCCAATTGTTGGATTCTCAAACATTTGCGTTTCCAGTTGAAAATAGCTTTTAATATAGTTCCGTCTGGGTACCAGTGGCGTATAATGGGTCTAAAACAGCCGACCTTTTTCCTCAAAACGATTAATTATTTTTATTTATAACAGTTTAGTCAAACTCAATGTAAAATTTTAAAAGCATGTAATCCTGTCTCATACACATACAAATAGTGCTGGCTCTAACCCTTCCCTATTCCACAATCGTCGGCAACAATCACTCTGTTTACATCTCGTGGACTTGACGAAATCCGCTGGTGACCTTAATAATTAGATCTGACCATCTTGATTTCCAGGCGGACATCTGTGATTAGAGCATGCGTAATATGTCGTAACTATGAATGAACTGTTCTAAAACAGCGAAAATTATCTTATTTTAAAGAAGTTACACTCATAAATAAAAAAGATGATTTTGCAAGGTGGAACTAATAAGATCACATGGTATCTGTGCCGCTGCAATATCCGTTCAAATTCCCGAGCCTCCATAGGCGTACGAGCTGGCCCCCCACCCCCATTTTGGGCACCAAATGCTGGGAAAATTTGGGCACACAATTGTACTTTGTAAAAGTTGTATAAAAAAAATATTGTGTTCCAATTTAACAGCGAATTTATTATTATTATGTAACATACTAAGAACCTAATTACATTTTTTGGGCACCAACAACCACCGCCCCCCCCACCCCAGTCAAAAATTTCCCCGTACACCTATGCAAGCCTCTTATCATAGCATGCACTAAAATAAATAATTGCCGTCTTTACGGTATAAGGAATAAATATGCAAAGTTCCAAGAAGATCCATTAAGAGAGAGAGAAATGGAGTTTAACGTCCACTCGACACAAACCACGTCATTTCGGGACTAAAACATGGTTCAATGTTAGTTCAATAATTCGCATGCGCGTACGAGTCTTTAGCAGTGGGAAGAAATCGGAGAAATCTCACGAAGTTGGACAGCCTAACATACTCCTTGTTACGTACAACCGGGGAATCGAAACCACGCCAGTTGACCCAACGACAGACCTTATTATACAGCGCGCATGTGCTAACCATTCGGTCATCCAACCCCCCCTGATCCATTCAGAATTGCAGCCTGTAGACAATAAACACAAAAATTGGGCGTGGCTCGGCCCCCGGGGATTGGATATGGAACAATATAAATGGGTACATCCCTATGATCGATCATGCCGAAATGGATCAAAATATGTTAATAATTGTAACCTGTAGATTATTTACAGACGAAATATTAACAACAAATGGGCGTGGCAACGCGCAAGTGGGGCGGATCATGCATCAAATTCAATAGTTGCCGTTCCTAGAGTATAACAAAATAATTAACACAGTTCTACGATAATTCTCCAAGTCGTCAATGTTCGAAGGGAGATAACTCCACCGCTAGAGGCGCTAGGTGCGGGGGGTTGACAGCACTGACAGCAGACGTAAACACGTTTTGTTTTTGTTACGTTCGATTAGGCTAAATTTAATGGGTAAACACGATTTTAGTTGCGCTTTTGGGTGCAACCATACTAGAAGTAAGAACGATACGTGCATTTTTTTATGAATTTCCCGTTGATGAGCATTGGCGTAAATTATGGGTGAATGCTGTCAAGAGAAATGTTGTGACACTGACAGACGACGGGAAAGTTCACCCGTGGAATCCGAGTGATAGCTCGAAGCTTTGTAGCTGTCATTTCATGTGTCCGCCAAATCCATCATCCAGGCAAAAAAGTAACAAGCATGTACTACCAACAGTGTTTGTATATAGAAAAACCCCAACACCAAGGTCTTCTATCAAATCTACTTCAAGGGAGCAACCACCAGTCTTGAAAAGGAAAAGAACTGATAATGATACGATCAACAAGGTAGGCTAATAATCTACGAATTACCGGTAGTCCTATTGCTCCTAATAATGCCATGAGCCGTTGAGGCCCATGTAATTATTGTCATATTTCCTACCATACCCGGTACGCACAGTCGACTGTATTATTACTTTTTTTTAAAGTATTATTATTTAGGCCTCTAGATCAGAGTATAATAGTAAGTGCATGGGGACTGCACCACACAAAATTTACACAAAATAGTAGTACTAGTAGTAGTGTATGGACAGTCGAACTACTATAGTCAAGATTGCGGCCCACAAATAAGATCAAGGCCTTGTTCAGTTGTTTACAATTCAGTTTCACATTAGGCTATTCTGAGTATTCAAGTACCTTTAATATTATGCAATGGAGGAGGTGGGGCTGGGGTCATCAGGTTCATAATTTTAAAGAGGTAGTACTAGTACTTGCCTGTCACTCTTGCCAACCCCCCCCCCCCCCCAAAAAAAAAAAACACTGTTAAATGATGGATTTAGTTTTGAATTATTGAAAATAACCTAAGTTAAACTCCCCTATTTATTGAAAATTGAACGAATGACCTACCGTGACCGTGTATTTATAAGTAAATTTGTTATTTTTTTAGAAAAACAAGGAAAACAGTTCTGTGAATGTGATAGAAATTTTGGAAGCCGAGGATTCACCACAAGAAATTGATAGAATAAAACAGTTACCTGTAATGTAAGTAAAATATGATATTCCTTTTAAAAATTGTACTGATATTGAATTACTACAGTACATTTTTGAATAAAATCAATATAATGTTACACAATTTTACTATAAATAGTGTCGCACATATACAAACACCCATAAGATAAACCTGTGGACAAGACATTAGTGCCCACTGCGCTGAACAGTCCTGTAGTGATAGGCCTACATGCTTCACTCAAAATGAAACTCCGCACAAGTGAGAATATATAAATTTTCTCATATTAGTTACATTTTTCAATCAAGTGATCTTTTTTTTATTTCAGTCAACACAGCATGATCATGATTATTTAAGTAGACTGGCCGAGGCTATTGATAATTTGACAAGTCAACATCCTGGGTTTTCTACATTCTTACATGACTACAATACAGCAATTCAGAAAGCTACAGCATATGATGAACATAACCAGAAAGTGCAAATATTGACTTTATATAATGTAAAAGATGATGACAATTTATTTCGATATTTTACTGGTTTTCCTACGTATTCAGTGTTTTTAGCCTTATTTAATTATTTAGAAGACAAAGTTATAGATATGAAATATGATAAAGGAAGTAAAACCTACGAATATAATTTTTTTAGTAATCGGTACATTTCTAAGCCAGGCAAGAAAAGAGCTTTAACTTTGCAAGATGAATTTTTTATAACATTAGTCAGATTGAAATTAGGCTTGCCTTCAAAAGATTGTTCAAAGCGATTTGGTATTTCTGAATCTTCATTTTCATCCATATTTAGAACGTGGACGACACTGTTATCAAAAGAACTTACAAATTTATGTGAATTACCTTCAATTGAATCTGTTGTGCAAACTAAAGCTTCCTGTTTTAAAGATTTTAATAATATTGCAATTATTATAGATTGTACAGAGTTGTTTAGTGAGACTTCTTCTTCATTAACCGCTCATAAGCAATATCATTCTAATTATAAGCATCACAGTACAGTGAAATTTATGGTTGGTATCAGTCCAGCAGGAGCGGTAACATATGTGTCTCAAATGTATGGTGGTAGGGCTTCCGACAAATTTATTACAAATGATTCTGAAAGTTTATTATCTTATCTCGATCCAGGGACGAGCATTATGGCAGACCGAGGCTTTACGATCTGCGATGATTTACCTGCTGGTGTTCAGTTAATTATCCCCCCTTTTAAACCCAAAGACAAGGCCCAATTTTCTAAAGATGAAGTACTAAGAAGTAAAAAAATATCAGAGGCCCGTGTTCATATAGAAAGGACAATAAGGCGTATTAAACAGTTTTTCTTGCTAGAGAATGAGGTCAAGTTGGCCATGATAGGAAATTACGAAAATATTTTTCGTACCTGTGCTTACCTTGTAAATTTTCAAGATCCTTTTCTCAAAGTATAGGCTTTTAAAATTAAAACAAACTGAAGACATTTTTGAAGTTGTGAAGTAATAAATTTCTATTGTTAACAGTAATAACACTTATAATATTAAAAATATAACATAATGTTGTCAACAAACATGTATAAATTAAGTCACTATGAAAACCTTCGGTCATTACAATTGTTTTATATATTTTATCAACAAACATGTATAAATTCAGTAATTAAGCCACTATTTACAATTAAAGAGGAAACCTATCGGTCATTACAGTTTTTTTTATATATATTTTGTCAACACACATGTATAAATTCAGTAATTAAGCCACTATTTACAATTAAAGAGGAAACCTTCGGCCATTACAGGTTTTTCATATATTTTGTTGACTATTAATTTCATTTAAGTAAAAATCAAAACTATTAAATGATTTGTTTATTGAAATAGAATAGGATATAAAAACCACTGCAGTGGCTGGAGTTCTGAAGAATGTCTAAATTGCATTTCATAAGACATTAATTTTCTTACAATTGTATTTGTATAAAATAATGTAGCCTTAAAATACACATCATTGCATTTCATTAGACATTAATTTTGGTACAATTATATTTGTGTAAAATAATTTAGCCTCACCATACACGTCATTCCAAAAATCTAAATCAAATGACATTGTACTACTTATAATTCCTTTACTGGACCATACAACAAGTCAGCTTTATGTATTTTAGTTATAGCCATTTGACTTTGTATTTGTGTATAATATGTATGTGAAGGAATTAGATGAGCTTGTCCATTCTCATCAGGTTTTAAGTAATTAATAGAATTTATAAAATCTGTAGTTGGTTTGTTTTCAATGGTTTTTGGACATTTAATTTCAACTATTATTTTATCCTCGCAACAAGAACATGAAAAAATTCTGTCAACACTGGTTGCAAACCAACCCTCATTTGAAAAAATTAACCCTTTCTGCATTAGATAACACCCAATATGTGTTTTTTGCTTTTCTTTTAGATATTCAGAAGCTGCATCTTTTTCATAAATAAGACCATATGCAGCAGTGATGGGATTTCAAAATTTTACTTGTCGGACATTTTACCGAAAATAAAGGAGCATAACTCTTATCGTTATTTAAGCAGACGAATTCGTACCACAATTAAAAGTCACATGTCAAAATATTCAAATCCCGTACGTAATAAAAATAGGTGAACCTCGCTATTTTTCATATTTAATTCCCGTACAGTATTCAATTCATACCACAATTAAAAACCACATGTCAACAAAATATTCAAATCCCGTACGTAATAAAAATTGGTGACCTCGCTATTTTTTACACTTAATTCCCGTACGGCATTCAAATTTATGTCAGTAAATGTCCTACAAAATTAAGCATTTTCGTGATATGTTGAATGAAAGCTTGCCGATCCTGCTTCGGCATCAAATTCACAACCATAATATTCCTTTAGAATTACGTGTCTTCGTTTATACGGCAGCAAATGAATGCAGAACTTCCGAAATAGTTAAATCACTTGTAAACAGGCATAGCTAACTTCAGCGAATAACACTCTTTCATAGTCACGACAGAGTGACAGGCATCATAGGCAACACAGCAGAATGGTTGACGCCTACAAATACGTTAGAATTTCTGCTCATATAGCTATTGGTAGCCCCTCCCCTTTTTGTTATTTTGCTGGGTGCGTACTAGTCACGGTCACCCAGAAACTCCTAGTCTTCAACATATTCGTAGAATTTTTTTCTGGATAATAGAGACTAATAGCCTACGTGACTCATCACACGGCTTCATAGTAAGCACTGCCTGATAATATGTTAAGCAATATTCGTGCCGCGCTCGAGATCAAGGGAAAGTGCCACCGTGGATGAGAATTTCTATATGGATTCTTAAAAGACGTAAAAGATATCGTAGACAAAATGACTGTCCATTGATTTAGGGTGTTATTTACTCTTACGATATGTGACATCTATGATTAGTTTATTATAGATGATGTCGGCTCACATCAATGCGATTAAGATGCCCAACAAATGAGGTGGATTAAAATTATAATCATTCTTTTTGAATTGATGAATAGTCCGACAAAAGGAAAGCAATGACTTCTGTTTAAGATTAGATTGATGAATTGTCCGACAAAGGATTAAGTCAGTCAATCAAGGCAGATTAAGTAGTTAAATCAAGGTAGGTTTATACTATAGACGGTATAACACGATAAATACGTTGATCACTTAATTACCTAATAAACCCAGCGTATTATCGACGATAATCGGGTTGAGTGGTAGTTATACACTCAGTAAACTATATTAATTTCTGAATTTTGAATATTATTCACCATGTCTTGATGTCCGATTGGGCATATTCCCGGTCGGACAATTTTGGGCGTTTGGAAAAAAGATTCGGACAAGTCCGGAATATACGGGCAAAATCCCATCACTGATATGCAGTATTTATATTTCCCTTAAATTTACTATTGCCCATTATATCTTCTATAAGCCAATCATTGCTCCCATGATCAAGTAATGTTTTGCCTGATTTTACTCGTGTGTAAATATTATGTATTTTGCTGGATGTTATGGCACATTTTCGATAATAAAACCAGTTTTTATTTTCACTTTGTTTTCTTGTCAATGGTTCAATTGCATTTATCTCAGAATCAGTAGAGCAAAGTAAAGTCATAAAGTCATGCATATTTGTATTTTGTCTCATGCTAACAAGATATTTAGATTTTTCTAATATTGATTTTGGGGGTAATAATTCTGTGTATATATCAGTAATAAAAGATGGTACTAATTCAACTGCATCCAAATTATATATATCCTTAAGATCTGAGGGTCCAAATGTTTGCAAGGGTTTATTATTTACGGGTCTCCACTTATTGAGATCTACCGATTTCAACCATGGTAAATTTGGACGACATAAATTAAGTTCATGAAAAAGCTGTTGTGCCTTTTCAAATTTTACCCCAGCCTTTAGAGGATTAACTGGATTAAAGATGCTACTCTTCAAAAAAAAAATTGTAACCACCTTAATAGGTCCTCTTTTTACAATAGGAACATCTTTAAGAGGTTTCACTTGAATATTTTTGGATTTTGGTGCAGACCATGAACATAAAATAGACGTGCACGAAGTGTCAGGCAATTCTGTTAAACCTTTACTAACAATATCTTCTAGGCCAAATAGTAAGCCAGCAACATGAGAACATGCCTCAATCAATCCTGCTGCACATGAACAATGACCACCAAGTGGTTTACCACTAGATTTATCTAAAACAATGCATGTGTCATATACAGTTCCAGATGTATCCCAAGATGGGTTACTTTTGCAGCGTAAAGCACAGTATGAATAATTATCTGCAAGATTGTTAAACCGAACAGAATGTATATGTCCTGAAGCCCAAAGCTCGTAACTGCGTAAAGCTTTATATCGCTTAAGTGTTTCTGATGTGAATTCTTCAAAGTTTGAAGAACATGTTTTAATATCATGAGCATTAATCAAATATTCTACAATCTGTGAAAGTGTTGTAGATGGCAAATATTTAAGATTTTGGGTCCAGCCCTTAACTGAATTTTTAATGTCACAAATATGTTGATGAACCACACTAGTAGATTGATTAAATTTATAAATTGAAGACAGCTGTGCCAAATGATGGGTCCTTTTGCCAATAACTTCTAAATGATTTCTCCTGAGTAAGTCTTTCAATTCCAAATCATTTAGTTTACACAAATCTTCATATTTAATTATTTCATGGGGTTTTAGATGTAAAACTGAAGATAGCTGGTCAATTTTCTCTAAATGTTTATTCTTGGGGACCAATGAATGTGATCTAATAATCTTATCAAGTTGCTGATTAGTTAACTTCAACAGGTCAGAATAAGAAGAATAAGTCTGTGAAGTAAAAAAAAAAGAGAAATGAATTGTTTATCAATAAAAAAAAATAAATCACTTTATTTTGTGGTGTCTGTTCGGAAGGGATGGTGGGGGTAGGGCCTATATTTTTTTTTAAAAAAAATCTTAATTAGATTTAAAAACTTACAGCCAAAGCAATTTTTAAAATGTGTATCAGAAAATAAATGAATAGAATCATAATTAAATACTGAAAAATCTGTTCAGCTCTACATTTAGCAGTTTAGGCCTATTTATTTCCAAAATTTTGCTGTGTTTTTTTTAAAAAAAAGAAAAAAAACTTTTTGCTTGTTTTTTTTTAAACATAACAACACTCCAAATATGTCCAACATCCATTTACGGAGGGGCGAAATATATTTAAGGTTTTTTGTAAAAAGAGCTTAATTATAAATATTAGATCTACGAGTACGAAGGGAAAGTTTGGGCAATAACTATAAGCTACGGTACATCATAGATATGATTGCCGACTCGTCTTTAGCCCTTTACGTGATGTTGCGTTCTGGTTCGTGCGCATATTTTTTTGCGCAGGGGGGGGGGGGTGTTTACTTCCGGTCTAGCTTTCGACAGTACGTACGCACAGTGACACGCGAAATTGACGTTTTTGAAACTTACGTTTATGAAATTAATAAAATGAACACGTATATAAAATTATATGAAAAAAAGAACAAGATATCTCCTTCCAAAATATTTTTAGATTATTGCAAAAGATTAAATAGCTACTGTGTGACGTTAAGTTGAAAAAAGGTTACAAATGGGCAAAAAATGCCTTTCTTCATTCATGTACCGTACCAATTTACACTAAAATTAGGAAATATTTTTGATATAGAGATAATACTTCAAACACCTTTATTTTTATTTTTCTAATACTTCAAAAAAAATGTTCTACAATTTAATTTGCAGAAAGAAAAAGGTTATATTGCGAGCTAACTAACCCGCACCTCTGTGCCACACACAGGCCTACGGTATGGTATAGGCCTATCTATAGTGTGATTAATAAAATTAGATGTTGCATTTTATTATCAATTGCATGGTATATTAGAACAGTTTTAAAAATCTTGTTTATATTCAAATGTGCATTTTTTAAAATAAATTCAGCTTTGTTTGTATACTTTAGTTGATAAAGATGTAAATATCCCTACAAAATTCTTTTCCAATCTAGGCCTAATTAATAATTTTAGAAAATGGCCATTTATTTATTTTAAGTCCCTCTGTCATTTAATTTAGATAATTTTATAAATGCAGACCCCCCCCCCCCCCCCAAAATAAAAAAAATAAAAAAATACACTCATACTTTTTTTTCAGCTTGCACGACTGGAAAAAAGTTTACTTATATAAATCCACCTTAATGTAAGCAATTATTTCATAGTCTTTTTGATCTAGGCTTTGTTGAGAAATTAAATTAGCTTCAGTAGATATAACAATTATATATAAGGAAAAAGAAAACACTATTAGTATTAAATAAAAAAGGAATTATTGCTTTAGTTATCAATGAAAAGGAATTTTTGTTCTAAAATAGATTCTTCCAGGAATCCTGTACATTAAAAGATTTACAAGAGTTGATAAAGGCAACTTCATCCTTGATATCTGATATTTCAATGTTGGCCACACCAATTTGATTTCCTGTTCTTCGGGCTTCGATATAAAAAATAAATAGCTAATTAAATCATGTGAAAGATGTTTTGTTTAAAAATTTGATACTATAAGCTTTTGAACAGAACAGCCAAGTACTTTTGGTGTTTAAATAGATGTATGTATTTTTCCAGAAGAACCAAATAAATAAATATAATGAACGTCCATTTCTATAGCGCCAAAATTCAGCAAAAATTGTGTTCATAGCGCTTGGCAAAACATACCTACACGAAGTCTTTAGCTCTAAGTTATCACTTATTTGTAACAGATGAGTTTTTAAAAATTGTAAGGCACTACATTTATCTCATCATGTTGTTTATATGAATATATGATTACGGTATCCAATATCATTCATGTCATTAACATTTAACTTGTTTGCATACTTGACAAATTAGCCTATAGATCTAGTCAAATTTTTTTACAGAGTTACTTCGTGTAACCGGGGTAAATTATTAACATGCAGTAATTAATAAGACTGTTTTGTTAGGGTTTTTAAAAAAAAAAAAAAAATTAAAACACGTCATCCAAGCGAGAACCAAAATATATTTCTTTATGCCCTAAATTAAAATAATACAATAACAATAGATATAAATTTGAAGGGGAATTATGTAAGATTTAGATAAAGAGCTGGTCGTTCTCGCTATTAACTATAACATTTCAAAAATAGATAATGCAAATTGAATATATTGAAAATTTACCACCATACCGTTCTAATCTATTTAAAATCTGAGCAATCAGATGGCATCGAGAGTTGATTATGGTCTTTTCATGTTAATAAATGTCTAATTGATAATTAACATAACATTAAGGCCCAAAGAAAGACCTGCAATAAGCAGATTTAGCTCTTACATCATGCCTGTTTAACATTTAAAAACGCATCTTTAATTAACAATACTTTTATGATAAATTAATAAATGTATTATTAAATAAAGCGATCAGACAATGTTAATGTTACATAATTGGATGAATAATTATATAATTTATAGGCACCTTATTAGATTGAAATACCAACTCTTTCTTCCTCAACTGATAAGATTAAATTATTTAAATCAAAAAATGCAATAGCCTAATATTATTGTTAAGATTAATCAATTTAATTGAAACAAAAATTGTAGGTTATATTTTTAATGATTAATTTAATTACATGGAACAGTAAACCCATATCCTTAAATATCGACCGGCAGCTATTTTTAAATATTAACTTTTCTCCAGAACCGTGTTATTTCCTAAAAAGCCATACATCTCAGCATTGTAACAAAACCAACCTTATCAATATCGGAGCAAAATTGACTGAATTCTGTAACACCAACTGGTAGATCCCTTTTTCGCGAAAATTGGTCATTTGGCTTCAATTCTCAACCTATTTAACCATCAACATAACCATACAAACACATTACACATAGCTTGAATGGTTTATTTTCTGATGTTTGAAATACATAAAATTACATAATTATGCTTAATTCAACTATACAAAATTAAAATCAATAATGATATAATACAATCAAACAATTTAAACCAAATCCCTTGTTGAGTATTAAAATAAAACAAATAAAATAATGAAAATAATAATATCCCCCCCCCCCCCCAAAAAAAAAATGAAATAAAAAAATAAAATAAAATATAAATAAATAGATACATAAAATAAAATACTTTATCAATAGACCCCTTTCAAACTGTTTACGTTTTATTCATCCCAAACTTAGGCTGCCTATCTACAGCTAGCTCCGGCTGAGAATTCTCGTATGACGTAGGTGGATCGCTGTTTGCAGTATGCGTTTTATTGTTTACATGAAGATGCGCGCGCATACAGCCAGGCAATAAAGATGGACGCCGAACTTCGCTAATTAAATTATGCCGGACAGTTGTTGTGCCATCGGATGCCAAAACAGAAGGGCAGGCAGTCTTAAAACATTACCGTTTTACAATATTCCGTCTAGAAATACATTTATAGATAAAAGAAGACGCCAGGAATGGATCAAAGCCTTGAGGAGAGAAGACTGGAAGCACTGGCCCGACAGCAAAATTTCGAAGCGTAAAGTTACCGAACACAATTTGGCGAACTATTCGGCTAGCGACCTATTCGACCAATCCAGCTGGCAACCTGTTCCTTGGCAACCTATTCAGAATAAATTCAACAGTCGCCCAAACTCATCTATTTTTATCAACCAATCAAATCCAACGTTACGTCTTTCAAATGAAAGTAGAATATATTATTATTTATCCATTCCTTTAGCCCAGAATAGAGATGTATTTTCGCATTATCTTACAAAATTCGGGACATCCAACTAAATATATTCCGAAAGGTAAATAAATAAGCTTTCCAAATATTATTAGTAAAAGTTGGCACAGTCATATTAAAGCGATGCACTCTCATCCTAAACATGGCCAATTTTGAAAAAAAAATTAAACGGAAAGACTGTTAATGTTAATATCCCGTGTCAAAATTCGGACCATCGGACAAAATTCTGATAATCCACCTAAACATATTCTAAAAGGTAATTAAATAAGCTTTCCAAATCTTATTAGTAAAAGTTTGCACAATCATATTTTCAATATTTTAAAGTGAAAGAACGGTAATATTCCGAGTCAAAATTCGGATCATCGTACAAAATTCTGAGCATCGGGCTATATATATTCTGAAAGGTAATTGAATAAGCTTTCTAAATATTATTAGTAAAAGTTGGCACAATCATATTAAAGGGGTGCGCTCTCATCCTAAACGTCGTCCATTTTTCAATATTTTTAAAGTGAAAGAACGGTAATATTCCGAGTCACAATTAGAACCATCGTACAAAATTCTGAGCACCCAGTTATATATATTCTGAAAGGTAATTGGATAAGCATCCAAATATTATTAGTAAAACTTGGCACAATGATATTAAAGGGGCACGCTTTCAACCAGAACATAGCCAATTTTTCAATATTCTAAATGTAAAAATAGACCTGTATTTTTTTCGAAGTCCATATTCGGATCATCGTACAAAATTCTGAACATCCAGCTATATATATTCTGAAAGGTAATTGATTAAGCTTTCTAAATATTATTAGTAAACGTTGGCACAATCATATTAAAGGGGTGCGCTCTCATCCTAAACGTCGACAATTTTTCAATATTTAAAAGTGAAAGAACGGTAATATTCCGAGTCAAGATTCGGACCATCGCACAAAATTCTGAGCATCTAGCTATATATATTCTGAAAAGTAATTGAATAAGCTTTCTAAATATTATTAGTACAAGTTGGCACAATCATATTCAAGGGGCGCGCTCTCAACCTGAACATAGCCATTTTTCCAATATTCTACATGTAAAGATAGGCCGGTATTTTTTTCGAAGTCGAAATTCGGATCATCGTACAAAATTCGAA